ACCTCATGTTATACCATGTTTTATCTTTTCCTGGGTACTTAAGCCACACTATTCAGTCCATTAAACACTGTAGTTAAATGGCTCTTTAAGGTCACCCATGATTTCCATCCTGCTAAGTTTAAAAGTTTAATTTCTGTTCATATAATCATTTATTTATTTATTTATTTATTTTTTGAGACATAGTCACTGACGCTGGAGGGCAGTGGCACATCATAGCTCACTGTCACCTTGAACTCCTGGGCTCAAGTGATCCTTTTGCCTCAGCTTCCCAAGTAGCTAGGACTGCAGGCATGTGCCACCATGCATGGCTAAATTTTTTACTCTTATAGAGACAGAGTTTTGCTGTGTCACCCAAGCTGGTCTTGAACTCCTAGCCATAGCAGTCCTCCTGCCTCAGCCACCCAAGGGTGAGGTGATGTGAGCTTCTGTACCCAGCCCCATATAATTCTTGAGTTAGTAACATTCAACACAAATGACCATTTCATCCTTTAAACCTTTCTTCTGACTTGAGTAACATCGTAGAATTTTTCCTCTACTTTTAGTTGTTAGAATTCCTTAATCATTGGGCCCCTTAGCCTTCTACAGTCTCCTTCAGTAATCTCTTCTAGTTTCGTGGCTAATAAACATCAGTTTATTAATATAACTCCACCCCCGATCAGTGTCAGACTGGTATATTCAACTTTCTATTCCACTCTTCTACTCAGATATCTAATAGGCATCTCAGATGTAACAAGTCCAAAACAGAACGTTCCTTTTTTTTAATTTTCAAAATTTTAGATTTGGGGGTACATATGCAGGTTTCTTACATGCGTATTTTGTGTAATGTTGAGATACAGCCTTCTAATTTGCCGATCACACAAATTGTGACCATTGTACCCAGCAGGTAATTTTTCAGCCCTCACCTTCCTTCTTTCCCCTGCCCTTTGGAGTCGTCAGTGTCTGTTCTTTCCGTCTTTATGTCTGTATATGCCCATTGTTTAGTTACCGCTTACTAGCAGGAACATTTGGTATTTGATTTTCTGTTTTGAGTTATTTCACTTAATGGTCTCCAACTCCATTGATGTTGCTGCAAAGGATATGATTTCATTCTTTTTTCTCTCTCTTTTTTTTTGAGATGGAGTTTTGCTCTTGTTGCCCAGGCTGGAATGCAATGGTGCAATCTCAGCTCAGTGCAACCTCTGCCTTCCAGGTTTGAGCTATTCTTCTGCCTCAGCCTCCTAAGTAGCTGGGATTACAGGCACCTGCCATCATGCCCAGCTAATTTTTTGTATTTTTAGTAGAGACGGGGTTTCACCATGTTGTCCATGCTGGTCTTGAATTCCTGACCTCAGGTGATCCACCCACCCTGGCCTCCCAAAGTGCTAGGTTTACAGGCATGAGCCACTGCGCCTGAATGATTTCATTCTTATGGCTGCATGCTATGCCACATATATGTGTGTATACATACACATGCCACATTTTCTTTATCCAGTCAACTGTTAATGGACATTTAGCTTGCCACTGTGAATAGTGCTTCGATCAACATGTGAGTACAGATGTCTTTTTTATATAATTATTTCTTTTCCTCTGGATAAGGAAAGAACGGAGTTGGGTTCATTTGACCCAGTAGTGGGACCGCTGGGTCAAATGGTAGTTCTATTGTTGATTTGCTAAGAAATCTTCATGAGTTCCATAGAGGTTGTACTAATTTACATTTCTGTCAACAGTATATAAGCATTCCCTTTTCTCTGCATGCACACCAATATCTGTTGCCACAACAGAACTTAAAAAAAAGTTATTCTACAAAATTTTAAACACAGCACAAAAGGAGAGACAGTACCACAAACACCCAGGTACCCATCCCCCAACTCCAACAACCAACATGGCCATTCTTGTTTCATCTGTACGCTGCTAACACTTACCCCACCCTAATCAGATTATCTTGAAGTACATCCCAAATACTATACCCTTTTTCCTGTAAAATTTCTGTCTGTGTCTCCAAAAGATCACGACTTTCTAAACTAGTATCATTAGTTTGGAATTTACCACTTAAGAACATTTCATATATCCTCCACTGTGTTTGGTGGTTGTCCAGTGAATAGTTGAGATTATCCTTTAAGAATTCCAGTTTACAAGGAATACTATTACAAAAAATAGAAAGGTACAGGAAGAGAAGATAATGAACTTGGTTTTAGACTTGGTATTTGCTCGTGTTTTATTATTCTGAATTATGAACCTCTATCAGCCATTTTACTTTAGATTGAGATATAGCAAAGGCTATTAAACTCACTAATTAAAAATAAATGGAATGATAGAATCTAGACTATAGACTTAGATTGAATGGACTAAATGGTTTACACTTGGAAACATTCATTAGATGTTCATTCATGGAAATGTTCATTAATGAGAATTAATGAGAAAGTGGCCAAACAATTTGTGGTGCTTGAACAGGATAGAATACTTATGCAACTATTTGAAATGTCTTCAGGGTTGGGTGCAGTGGCTCATGCCTATAGTCCCAGCACTTTGGGAGGCTGAGGCGGGAGGATTGTTTTAGTCCAGGAGTTCAAGACCGGCCTGGGCCATGTGGCAAAACCCTCCCTCTATAAAAAATATACAAAAAAACTAGCCAGGTGTAGTCGCACATGCCTGTGGTCCCAGCTATTTGAGGGGCTGAGGTGGGAGGATCACCTGAGCCCAGGACGCGGAAGTTGCAGTGAGCCGAGATCACACCACTGTACTCCAGCCTGAGCAACAGAGTGAGACTCTGTCTCAAAAAAAAAAAAAAAATATCTTCAAGATATTTCTAGCAACAAGAGCAGAGTGCTTGGCTGGGCATGGTGGCTCACGCCTATAATCCCAGCACTTTGGGAGGCCAAGGCGGGCAAATCACGTCAGGAGTTGGAGAACATCCTAGCCAACATGGTGAAATCCCATCTCTAAAAAAAAAAAAAAATTCTTTAAAAAAAGCAGAGTGCTCATAATCTAATGTTATAAAGCCAGATTTTAAAGTGTTACATAGTACCTCAGTTTTATAAAAACATTCATAGGTATGTGTTGAAAAAAGACCAAGAGGACATATTAAAATGTTAATAATGGTTAACTATGGATGATTTTTATTTAAAGTTTTTACTAACTTTTCTAAAATGAAAGTAATAATTTAATCATAATAAGAATTTTTATTTTAACAAATGGACAAGGAAAGAAAGGAGTTGGATTCAGTCATGGATTTAAGTTTGGCAAAGGTAAGTAGGATAGTGTATTGAGGGAGAATCAAATGTTGCTTTTAATACATATTAATATTGAACGTTAACTTGGATGTTTTCAATAATAAGTATGTTCCTAGTATTATAGAATTCTGTTCTATTTATGTTCTTTTTTTTTTTTTTTGAGACGGAGTTTCGCTCTTGTTACCCAGGCTGGAGTGCAATGGCGCGATCTCGGCTCACCGCAACCTCCGCCTCCTGGGTTCAGGCAATTCTCCTGCCCCAGCCTCCTGAGTCGCTGGGATTACAGGCACGCGCCACCATGCCCAGCTAATTTTTTTTTTGTATTTTTAGTAGAAACGGGGTTTCACCATGTTGACCAGGATGGTCTCGATCTCTTGACCTCGCGATCCACCCGCCTCGGCCTCCCACAGTGCTGGGATTACAGGCTTGAGCCACCGCGCCCGGCCTCATTTTTTTTTTTTTTTTTAAGAGACAGTGTCTTATTATTGCCCAGGCAGCAGTACAGTGATGTGATCATAGCTCGCTGCAGCTGTGAACTCCTGGGCTCAGTGATCTTCCTGCCCCAGGCTCCCAGGTAGCTAGGATTGTAGGCATGAGTTGCCATGCCTGGCTAATTTTTTAAAAATTTTTTTGTAGAGACATGGTCTCACTATGTCATTCAGGTTGGTCTCGAATTTCTGGGTTCAAGCAATACCCCTGCCTCAGCCTCCTAAAGTGTTGGGATTACAGATGTGAGCCACTGCATCCAGCTGTTTTCTTGATGATTTTTAAGTGGCTGTGGTTTTTTTTGTTGTTGTTGTTCTTGTTTGGACATTTTGTAAATTTGAGAAACAGAAAAGAAAGAGAAAGGTGTGCTGCCAGAAACTTCTCCCAGAGTTTAATTGAAGATGGAATGTAGCTGATGTCTAGCCTTTCTCTAGTAACAAATGAAAAGAAGCACACTGATCACATGGGAGGAGGGGCTATACTGTGTGGGTAGTTACCACCAGTCTTTTTTTTTTTTTGAGACGGGGGACGGAGTCCCCACCTCTTTTACCCCAGGCTGGAGTGCATTGGCGCAATCTTGGCTCACTGCAACCTCCGCCTCCTGGGTTCAGGCAATTCTCCTGCCTCAGCCTCCTGAGTAGCTGGGATTACAGGCACGCGCCACCATGCCCAGCTAATTTTTTGTAGTTTTAGTAGAGACGGGGTTTCACCATGTTGACCAGGATGGTCTCGATCTCTTGACCTTGTGATCCACCCGCCTCGGCCTCCCAAAGTGCTGGGATTACAGGCTTGAGCCACCGCGCCCGGCCACCACCAGTCTTTTTAAGTTCCCTGCCCTTTTGATATTATTTTTCTGTTGGTTGTTTTTTTGAGAGTTGGAGGCTTTCTGAGGGAAGGGGGTCCTTGGAAGTTATGAGCTAGGTTTACTAAGAAAAAGTAAAAACTAAAGTTCACTAGTATACGTTATTGGCTGTATGCTGGAGATGGAAGGAGCATACACTGTTTGCTAAACACCATGCCAGTAAATGGGGTTTCAACATGAGTAAAACAGTCTTAACCCTTAAGACAATCACGTTCGAGCCAAGGAGGCAGAGTTGGTGCCCACTGTTCAGATTACTGTTACTTAACCTACCCATTAACCTTGTAATAAACATTTTCTTATGGTTGCACTATATTTGGCTTGGATCCCTCACTCTTGACTTACAGGGTTATAAAATATCCAAGAGTTTTACTTTTTACTTAAATACTTATTTTTTATCACTAACTTTCCATTCAGGTTATTTTTTTTATTTTAAATCCTTATAGGAATTACTCAAGGTGATGAGGACAATTGATGACAGAATAGTACATGAATTAAACACTACAGTTCCAACAGCTTCCTTTGTAGGGAAAATTGATGCCAGCCAAACCTGTAAACAGCTTTATGAGTCAGTAAGTGTATTTTTTGAGTCTCTCTTTTCCTTCTTTTATGGCTTTCTTTGCAAGCTAAATAAGAAATCAGTTATCTTGCAACTCAGCTGTGACTAAAGGAATGACATCTTCATATTTCTTTGCTTATACCTGATGGCGTATATAATTTTTATGTATTTTCTATACCCTAAAGAAAATGTGGGATCTTACACTTGTGAAATCTTACCAAATCTGTGAAGAAATGGTTCTAAAGAATGGGAGCAGTTGTTTTGCAGCCTTTAACTTAAGGAGATCTTATGCACAAAGGAATGAAAGGGGGAGAGTGAAACAGTAAAGCAAAACAGTAGGAAGAGCAAGGACTGTGAGTACATTAGTTCTAAAAAGCCAGACAGCTGGTATAAGGAAGAATTAAAACCCTTCACACCTTTAAATCTTCTTTTTCTCACTCCTCAGGAAGAGGAATAAAAGCATTTGGCAACTGGGAGAGAAGGAAAGCCATGGATCAATTGTCCTTTCCTGAGGCTTTGGTTTCTCAAGTATATTTTTTCATTACCTCCCGTTTTCTTTTTTAATTTCCAAAAGCAGAAGGAAATAATGCTGCAGCAAAATATTTTTTGTAGTTTATTTACTTATATTCTTTCATTAATTTGGAAGCTAAAGTTTTAAGCTCTACCACAAGGTTACCTTTGGATTCATAGTCATAAAGAAGGCATACTTAAAACCTAAACTGCCTTTCTCAGATCAGTTTTAGACAAGCTTATCCATGACAGTTCAATTCAGAGGCACTAACTACTGATATTTTTGTTCTGTGTTAAAATATGTTACTTTAAATGAGCAGATAAGTCTAGTGGCTTGAGAAAATCATAAGGGTGTGGACCCTTAACGAGTGGAATTCAGTATTGCAAGTAGGTAGCATGGGACCAGTTCTAATTTGCCATGAGGCTGTTTGACAGTTCACTTTCTTTGGGTACCTCTGTCTGAAGAACTAGAATTTATGGTGATACCCCACCCTCACCTCACTACTCATATAATCTCCGTAATCTATAAAGTTATTTCCATTTACAATCTTCCTATTAACCTAGATGTTTATAGTGTAGTGATTAACAATATAGATTTTAGACCTAGATTAATCTCACATCTGCTACCTCCTAGCTTGGTGACCTTAAATACGTTACATAACCTCTGCCTCAGTTTTGTTTTATTTTGTTTTGTTTTTTTGAGATAGTGTCTCACTTTGTCGCCCAGGCTGGAGTACAGTGGCAAGATCTTGCCTCACTGTAACTTCTACCTCCCAGGTTCAAATGATTCTCCCAACTCAGTCTCCCTAGTAGGTGGGACAACAGGCACGTGCTAACACACCTGGTTAATTTTTTATGTATTTTTTGGTAGAGATGGGGTTTTCGCCATGTTGGCCAGTCTGGTCTCAAACTCCTGACCTCAAGTGATCCGCCTGCCTCGGCCTCCCAATTTGCTGGGATTACAGGCGTGAGCCAACGTGCCTGGCCATCTGCCTCAGTTTTAATATTTGTAAACCTCGGCCTCCCAATTTGCTGGGATTACAGGCATGAGCCAACATGAAGCACTAATCTGTGCTTCATATATAAATTTTCCTTATCAATACTTAATAATCTTGAAAAGGGCTCTGTCTTGAGTAGGTAAATGTAGCATTCTTTGTTCTTTATTGTAATGAAATCTTCTATACATGACCTAGTTTATCATTTCTTTCACTTGTTGACAATGCAAGACAGAAAAACATATGAAAGGACAAAGAAAGAGAGGAAGAATTAGCCTTAAGTGGCCAGGTGCGTGTGGTTGGATGTAGGGTAGAGGAACACATGGATAGAATCATGGGGAAAGTCAGTAGTGTAGGGTAGAGGAAACAGAAGTGAAAAGCCCAGCACAGGGAATGCGGGAAGATAGATGAGGGCAACACTGGCAGCATATTGAGGAGCAGGACAGCCCCAGACCTCATACCTCCACCCTCAGAGATGCTGCCACTTATGTTTTTAGGTGACGTTGCTGATTCAACACAATCTTCTCTTTCATGGATTCAGTCATCAGAAATTGTTTTAGAAAGTATTAAATTTCTGTAGTCTCAAGGACTTTTTAAAAAAACCCAAAAATATGATAAATTGATGCACTTTTTGTTTCTCATTTCATTCCTTTGTTTTTTTAGTTGATGGCAGCTCATGCCAGTAGAGACAAAGTCATAAAAAATTGTATAGCCCAGACGTCAGAAGTAGTAAAAAACCTCCGAGAAGAGAGAGAAAAGAATTTGGACGATTTAACGTTATTAAAGCAACTTAGAAAAGAGCAGACAAAGGTAAGTTGAACAGAATTAACATTTCTCAGGCAAAGTTTTTCCAGCTGTAGGCTTCAAAGTAAAATTTTTAATATGAAGATTTTGGCATATAATATGGCTATTACTTAAAAAAAAAATGACCAGATTAGTGCCTCAATTTTAGTGGGCTTTATATTATTATGTTTAGATATTAAGTGGTAAACTAATGTGCACTTCTTGAAAAAATGCAGCATAGCAGCTTTGGCTAAAATAAGCACATAGTTATAATTCATTTTCATTTCTTTGTTTGTTTCTTTCCCACTATTAAAGACAAGGGATCACTACAGGCAAACTACCACATCAGAAATTCTGGGGAAATCACATCTGTACAGCATCTGCCTTTTGAGACTTAACTTGAAAAAAAAATCTCTAATATATTTATGTTTTGAGAATACCTCCAGTTTCATTCTGTAGAAATCTGCTGAAATGTAATACAGACTATTTAACTTCAGAATATTACCCTCGTTAGCCATGAAAATATAATATGATTTAAATATAACCAGGTGCACTTGTACCTCATTATAATTTATTTCCCTACTGTGTAAAAGTTGCCAGGGATCTTTGGCTTTTTCTTGGACATGGCCTTTTCCCATTTCCTCCCCCCATCCCTGCAGTATTTTTACTTTTAAGAAAATAGCAAGTGCCTACCTAGGGATGTGTCAGAGGAAGCCTGTTTTCCCAAGTCAACTATAATGTCGATAGGGTGTAGACTTGAGATTACAGTCAATGCAGCAGAACTGTTTTCTTTACAGCCCTTATATATGATGTGTCAAGGAAACAATAGAAAAATACAGCATATTTTCTTATTTGGGATTTATTGCTGCCTTTCTTTTGAGGGGACTCTTTGGGGGTAGCTTTTTATTTTGTATAATTTCAAACTTACAGAAAAGTTGTAAGAATAGTACGTGGAACTCCCATATGCCCTTTACCTATATTCATTTGTCTTTTATATGTTGCCCACCTGCTTTGTAGTTCATTCTCTTCACCCTCCCTCTCTCCTTCTCTTTATTCTTCCCTGCCTTCCTCCTTCTCCCTCTCTCCCCACACACCTGTATGCATAAATAGATTTTTTCCATGAACCGTTTTAAGAGTATGTTGTACACATTGTACTACTTTACCCTTAAACTCATTAGTTATTTTATAAGAACAGGGACTTTTCTTATAAGACCAGTGTACAATTATTAAAATCATGGTGTTTTTTGTTTGTTTGTTTTTGAGACAGGGTCTCACTCTGTCACCTAGGCTGGAGTGCAGTGGTGCAGTCTCGGCTTACTGCAACCTCCGCTTCTGGGGCTCAAGCAATCCTCTCATCTCAGCCTCCTAAGTAGCTGGGACTGTGGGTGCAAACCACCACATCCAGCTAATTTTTTGTATTTTTGGTAGAGACTGGGGTCTCACCATGTCACCCAGATTGGTCTCAAACTCCTGAGCTGAAAGTGATCTGCCCTCCTTGGCCTCCTCAAGTGTTAGGATTATAGATGCGAGCCACTGCACCTGGCTTCATGTTTGTATTTTAAGATGGCATAATAGGTGACTTAGATCCTTGTGTGATTGAGTCATGCTTTTCATACTGAACAGTCATGAAGTTTGCCCTTTGTTTAGTAGATGTAACCAAACTTTGAAAAAGGGACCTTGTCATCTCTTGAAAATCTTTAGTAGAAAAGAAAAGAGACCTCTTTCCCTGTAGCTGGCTGCACACAAGGTGAGTAGGCCAGGCTGCTGCACTTTCTCAGTCATTCCACCAATTCAGGATGCCTCACTGGATCTAGGACTCAGCCACTGTCTTTGCTGCTCTCTTTGTTCATGACTACTGTGTCAGGTCTGTATTCCATACCTGCTCATGAAACAGGCACTGGTGGATCCCTTGGACAGTGACCTTACGCAGTGATACTCATTTTACCCTCCCCTTGCTGTTCATGAAGGCATATAGATATTTTATATAAAACTGGTAAAAGTCTATTAATTTTGGAGTTTGTATTTCAACTCTGTTGAAGGTGTTGACAAAGGAAACTCCAGGGCAAGTCTGTTAAATCAGAAACTGACAAGTCACTGTTTGCAGATCAAGTCAAACAGAATAGAGTGACTCGTTAGTAGAGAGCAAAGTTCAAAACTAAACCACTGAGTATTTGGGAGTGATGTGTTTGCTCAGCCCTCAGATCCGCCCTTATGTCTTTAGAGCCCAGATAGAATCACCAGAATGACCACTGCAAGGAAGGGTTTAGAAATCAATCAGTGAGTTGCATGAGGTTTGCTTTATAGCTTGATAACATATAGGACTGAGGGTAACCATGGGGTAGTACATAAGCAAATAAGGAAACGTGAATTTTTTTTTTTTATTTTATTATTTTTTTTTTTTCAATTTTCAAGTTTGCTGTGAAGATTTTGGAATCAGAGAGAGCTCTTGGAGATGTTACAGCTCTACCTCTTCATTTTCTATCTGAGGAAAAAGACTCAGAGATACTAACTGACATCCCCAAAGCCACAAGCTAGTAAGTGGTAGAACTGGGACTTGAACTTATCTTTTTCTGACCCTGAATTCAGTCAGTTTCTTTAAGTTGTGACTAATAGTTAAATACTTTAGTGAGCATATTTTATTTCTAGACAGAGATGCCAATCAAAAAATCCCCACTACTTTACCTGAATCTTTAACTCAGAAAAAGAGCACCTTCCTTGCTGGACCTCTGTAACTGCTGTCACATATTAGTGGCCTTTAGAGGAAGCTCACCTGTTGAAGACCTAGAGTCTCAAAGACAACTCTCTCAAAGGTGACTGACTGTTGGTAGCACTAATAAAATTGTATTAGCAGTTGGCTATGATGTTTGCAATGTTGCAGAATTTTAAAAAATAATCTAAAGGCAGATAGCTCTAAGGAAATAAATCCCATCTACCTTGGTGGCTTTGTAACCTTGTATATTAATTGTTCTGAAAAGTTGGATTTTGAGTCTGTAAAATGGAATTGATACCTAATAACTTCTTATTTTGGTGGGGGGCGGGGGGAGGATTCAATTATATAATGTAAGTAAGAGCTAGCATATTGGCTGGTACAAAGAAGCAATTTCTTTTTGTTTTTGAAGTCTCTGGGACCCTATATTTGTTGCATTAATCCTCTTTATCATATCACCAGCCAGTGTTTTCTAGCTTTTGTTTCACTGCTGCTTACGGGCAGAGTGCTGTGGCAGGGGAAGACTCTCTGCGTCAGCGTCAGTGTATTCTCTTTTGGACAGTTCTAAATGTTCCAAGATTTTCATATATATTGTGAAATTCTACTCCCATGATATGTAAGTACTGCTGCTTTTTTTTGAGACTGAGTTTCGTTCTTGTTGCCCAGGATGGGGTGCAATGGCATGATCTTGGTTCACTGCAACCTCCACCTCCTGGGCTTAAGCGATTCTCCTGCCTCAGCCTCCCAAGTAGCTGGGATTACAGGCATTCGCCACCATGCCTGGCTAATTTTTTTGTATTTTTAGTAGAGATTGGGTTTCTCCATGTTGGTCAGGCTGATCTCGAACTCCCGACCTCAGGTAATCTGCCCCCCTCAGCCCCTCAAAGTGCTGGATTACAGGTGTGAGCCACCGCGCCTGGCCAAGTACTGCTTCTTGATCTTCTCTCTGGAGCTACCCAGAATAAGTCTGAACGCTTTTCTACATGGTATCCCTTTAAATATTTGAGAGTGGTTTTGAAGACTACCTTAGTCACTTTCATACTGTTCTTCAACTGAAATTATTTCTTTGGCAGTCAGTCCAGGCTTTGTTAGAGAAATGGAGCTTTAATGATTTTCATCTGTATGGCTGATTAAAATGGGAAACTGAGATTGCATTGATGGGCTTCTTCAGGCTTGTTGCTACTGCACGGCACAGAACTAATTGTCAGAAATTGTAGTTCTCCTTGTTCCACAGTTCTAGCCATATGTACAGGCCTACACTTTGACACCAGTTCTGAATCTAGAAAAGGAGCTTGCAAGGAGCCATTGAATCTGTACCAAGTTCCATTCTTATCAGTGTTGCCACACATTTCTCAAACCTCCTGCCTGAACTGCACTCCTAATTGGACAGGGTCTTTGGCCTGGGTGTCACATTTGTGCTTGCCCAGAACTGATTGAGCTCTCTGGCATTTTGTTCCCAAATTTGGTCTGGGTTCTTGACTTTGGCCTGAGGAAATCATCCTGGTGTTAACCTCTTAGGCGGCATCAACCTATAGTTCATGCTTTTTTCTCCTCATTTTCCTGAATATTTTCAAGCCTTCTGCTTGGAACTAGCCAGCTTTTTTCCCTTCAAGTCCTCTAACAAAATATTCCTGGGAGTATCGTGAGTCCTGCTATCAGGGCCTGGCAATGGAATTGGCTACTTTTCAGTCGGAGTAATTAGGTTGGCAGTTAAAAAGAAAGCTAAAAAGACTTGGCATTTTTAGCCTGAGACCTCTGACTGTATGGTTAAGGTATGAGTAAACGCATGTCTTTCTAGATCACTTGGGACATGTATATTCTCTTTCCTCCCTGTTTTCCTTCCTGAGGTTTTTTTTTTTTCTTAATTCTCTATTCAGATCAGGTTTACACTTCCTTGTTTTTATTTTCCTCTCTGCTATCTTTGCAGGTCTGTAGTTGTATGATCAATCTCTAAAACTGGAATCATTGGGTTTAGGGACATGAGAGTGTATATTCCCTATAAGTCTTGCCAAATTGCCCTCCATAAAAGTTGTAACAATTTCTACTCTTACCAAGAATATATGTATCTTTTCCTGTATCTTCACTCACATTAGATTTTATCAGACTTACTCATTTTTTTCATATTATGGCTTAATTTGCATTTCTTTATACATGAGTAAGATTGGCATTTTGTTATGTTTATTGGCCTTTTGCATGTCTTCTGTGAACTGACTGGCCTTGGGAGTTTTTTTAAAGCTCTCAAGGTGATTAGAATATGCAGCAAAGTTTGAGATTAACAATTGATTAGATATGGAGAAAGCTGGCTGTGTCAAAGAAGGCTTCAAACTCTGCCATTAACCAACAACAATAATAGAGCAGCAGCAGGTTTTGTTGGGTAAACATGAGTATGGTTTTAGTTCTTTAAATTTTATAACTTCAATTTTTTTTTCTTGCAGTTGAAATGGATGCAGTCAGAACTGAATGTTGAAGAAGTGGTAAATGACAGGAGCTGGAAGGTATAAAATAACATTGGCGTTTGGGAAGAAGTAGGAGGGAAACTGAACTAGCAAAGGGAAACCAAGGGAGAGGGAGTAAACAGTGCCTTGAGGCTCTAAGGAGAGTAGAGATCATTCATTTATATTTACAATTGTGGGTTGTAACCTTTTGAGGGGATGGGAAGGGGGAGGGAGAGCAGGATGTAGTTAGCATCTAGTTAGAGCCATTTTATAACAATTAGCTTTACAGGGCTGGGCTTGGTGGCTCATTCCTGTAATCCCAGCACTTTGGGAGGCTGAGGTGGGTGGATCACCTGAAGTCAAGAGTTCAAGACCAGCCTGGCCAACATGGTGAAACACTGTGTGTAATAAAAATACAAAAATTAGTCAGGCATGGTGGCTTGTGCCTATAATCTCAGCCACTCAGAAGGTTGGGGCAGGAGAATCGAGGAGATTGCAGTGAGCCGAGATTGTGCCACTGTGCTCCAGCCTGGGCAACAGAGTGAGACTCCATCTCGGGGCGGGGATGGGGGGGAAGCTTTATAAGCATATGGTAGAATTGAATGAGCTGCCATCATAACAGCATTAGAGCCATTCTCCATGTCTCCTAACACTAATTACAGGCATATTTGATAGAGTTACTACTCGGAGCCTTCAAGGAGGTTATTTGTTAAAATTAGCCTTTTTGAGCTCAGTTACTTTCTATAAGTTTTCTTATCATTAGATACCCTATACAGTTGCTTGTCTTCTACCTTATCTAATCATAAACTTGTTATTATATGTAGCTTTGCTGGTATCTGATAATAAGGTTTTTATTGCTCATAGACTTATAAGCTATTTATTATCATTGCATCGTTATTGTTAGGAACTAGATTAGAGGATCAGATCCTAGAAACTTACATATAGTTAAATTCATAAAACTCTGACTTTTTATTTTCTGAAAAACTGTATCAATTTACCCTCTCTTAAACTCTAAAGGATTTGCAAAAGCAAAAATCTATTAAATCTGAGAAAATGTACTGGAAATTCTGTTTTATCATTTGAATTAACTAATGGAAAGTTGTTAAACTGTACATTTTTAAGAGAGGTTAACTGAACCAAAACCAGAATGTACTAACTTGCCGAGACATGAATAAATTGCAAAATACAAATTGACTTTGCTTTATAACATTTCTCTATCTTATCCTCTTTGCCAAGGTTTCCTATTCCTGCCCTTAGCACCAACATGATAAAGGTGTCTGTCACTTGAGAAGATTTGGCAATATATTCCTATTTATATTCTCTGGAGAAATAATGTTTACTATTGGGATTGGATGGGGAAGGGGTACAATGAAACATCTGGCTTGAAAAACCAAGTGCAGAAGTTTATGATATATGTAAAATGTAGTGGGAAGAGTGAACTATTTTGGATTTAATATTAGTCTTAAAGAAAATATGGCCTATCCACTTCACAGAAGATGAGGTCCCTACTTGTTTTAAAAAGAAGAAAATGTAGGTATGGTGCTGTGGTGCAATGGCCCAGCAGAGGTGGACAGAAAATCACTTGGGAAAAGGATTTGGAGAGGCTCAGCCAAGTTGTATATATCATCCCAACCAGTGTGTCAAGGCCACTAAACTGAAGCTTCCCTCTTGTCTGATTGGGAATTTCAGGGAAATGTCAGGACTGGAAATGAGTGAGATAAATTATAAGGCAAAAGGGCCAGAAAGAGTCTATATAATTTCTACGTTTTCTTTTAATTGTGAGATGCTTTTGCCAAAGATTATGTGACACGCAGAATTTAATGAATATTAATAAAATGAACATTCAAGTATCTACCACTCAAGAAATTGAATAATAGTCCGGGTACAGTGGCTCACACCTGTAATCCCAGCACTTTGGGAGGGGAGGCCGAGGTGGGTGGATCACCCGAGGTCAGGAGTTTGAGACCAGCCTGACCAACAGGGTGAAACCCTGTCTCTACTAAAAATACAAAAAATTAGCTGGGCATGGTGGCAGGGGCCTGTAGTCCCGGCTACTCGGGAGACTGAGACAGGAGAATTGCTTGAACCCGGGAGGCAGAAGTTGCAGTGAGCCAAAATTGTGCCATTTTGCTCCAGGCTGGGCGACAAGAACTAAACTCTAAGAAAAAATAGAAATTGAATAATAACAGTACCTCACAAGCTCTGTGTTTAGATTTTTATTTTATTTTTATAATAGTCAATGAGAGCCAACATAGGTAGTTTTTTCTTTTTAACCTGAAAAATGATTTGTTTTTTTTACATTAATGACGTATGGGGGTAAATTCTGAGAAGAAATTCTTTTCAATTTTAGAATTTTTTTTTTTTGAGACAGAGTCTTGCCCTGTCTCCCAGGCTGGAGTGTAATGGCGCAATCTCTGCTCACTGCAACCTCCGCCTCCCAGGTTGAAGCGATTCCCCTGCCTCAGTCTCGTGAGTAGGTGGGATTACAGGCGCATGCCACAACGCCCAGCTAATTTATTGTATCTTTAGTAGAGACAGGGTTTCACCAGGTTGGCCAGGCTGGTCTTGAACTCCTGACCTCGTGATCTGCCTGCCTCAGCCTCCCAAAGTGCTGGAATTACAAATGTGAGCCACCTTGCCCGGCCCTCAGAATTTTTTTAATTGAACACTTAAAATTTTTGACGTGTGATTTAAATTTTTTTAATATTAAAAATATTTTTTAAATTTTTAAAAATATAAATATACAGTAACAATTCTACCTTCTATCCCTCTCCTTCAGCCACCTCTTTCTTTCCCTTCCCTCTGAAAGGATGGTGTATGCTTTCAGATAGTCACACCTTTTCTAATTTTATGTGTGTATATATTTTTCTACCTTTGTTACACAAGTGAAAGTGTACTGTTCACACTTTGGTTTTTTCCCTTAATATGTCTTGGACATCTTTTAAATCAGAAGATAAATTATTTTTAATCTTGCATGTATTCTATTGAATAACTGTACCAAATTCTTACTTAACACAGTTCCATGTAGACATTTAGTTATTGAGCATTCTTTAAATATTTAAACTTATTTTAGGTATTTTTGTCTAGTTGTTTAAAAAATGTCCAGAATATGAAATTGAAATGTTTATTAGTAACAAAATTAGCTGGCTCTTGATTTTTTTTCCCTAAGTAATTTAAATTTTATTAAAATATTAGAATTGTCTTATAAATGGATGTCAAGGCCTTCTGGGCATTCAGCACCTCATAAATTCAGTTTGAATTGTTGAGGAAACTCTTTTGTTTCCTAAATCTGTTGACTTAGGACAAAAGTGATAGCCTTTTGAAGCATACCAAGTTGAATTTAGTTCCATGCCTGATTTATACAGAATAACTCAGTGACTTTTGTTTCTGTTTGAATATTTTAGGTGTTTAATGAACGCTGCCGAATTCACTTCAAGCCTCCAAAGAATGAATAAAGAGAGATACTTTTTTTTTTTTTTTAAAGGACTGGGTCATCTCATAAGAGCTAAGCATGACAGGTATCAACAGGGCGGGCTTCCTAGGATGATTTCTGAGCCAACAGTCCAAGACCTTTTGTTGATTTCAGCCCCACTTAGCCAAGACCTCAAATATAAATAATTCTGATAATTATGGAGAAATCAACTGCTATTTTATACTGATTCTGTAAAAAAAAAAAAGTTTTGTAACTATTAAAATAATTTTCTGACTCAGTGTACATATTTATTTGATTGTTTTCTATGTTGAGACAGTTCTCTATTTATTTATTGAATTTTTAGTTTTTATTCTTTTTAATATCCTTTCTGTCAGGTTGTAACAGTTCTCATAAGAGAATTTGCATGCACTTTCAATATCTGATTTGTATTGTACTTTTTTATTTTTACAAATTTATTGGCATGGATATGGACCTTTTTGGTCATTGATGAGTTTATCCCTTGATTTATCTATTGTACTTTTTTATTTTTATAAATTTATTGGCATGGATATGGACCTTTTTTTGGTCATTGATGAGTCTATCCCTTGATTTATCTCTGTGGGCTGATTACAAAAGGGCAGTACTATAAGCTGGACACTGTCCAAAGAAGTTTTCTTTTAGTAGCTTAACTGATCTTGTTTTCAGATGTAAAAACTAATTTTTGGTGGAATTCTTTCCTGGACAGTATTTCCATGGTCATGGAAAAGGAAAGCAGAAATTCAGGAAAGGGAAAAGCAGAGAACAGCTTGCATGATAGCAAACAAGTAAGAAACCTGCTGTAATTACAGGATTTGGGCCTTGCAAAAAAAATGCAGTATGGAATGGTTATGTTATTTTTTATCACTGCTTAACAGGTTACCACAAACAGTGTCTTACAGTTCTGTAGACCAAATGGGCAGATTTGACTGGACTGTTTTCTGTTTAGGGTCTGAAAGCTGAAATAAGCTGAACGCCAGGCTGGGCTTTGGTCTGGAGTCTATAGGGGAAGAGTCTTAGAGATCTGCTAAGCTCATTGAGTTGGCAGATCCTTGCATCGTGTGCCTGAGGTCCCCATTTTGTTGCTGGCTGACAGGTGCCACTCTCCGCTCCAGGAAGCTTCCCACATCTCTTGACACATGGCTCCTTCCATCTTTAAGGTGGCAGTGTTGCATTCAGTTCTCATACTTGGAATCTCTTTGACTTCCCTTTCTGCTACAAACCAGACAAAATAAAGGGCTTGTGTTATTAGATTAGGCCTATCACATCTTTTTGCTTAACTCAAAATCAACTGATCATAATTACATCTGCACATCTCTTGCCAGGTTATATAATAACCACAAACATCAAGTCCCATATTCGTGATCAGAAGGACATCTTGGGGAGCCAGTTTAGGATTTTGCCTACCACAGTGATTTAAACAAGCCACCTGGCTCTGGCCCAGTTAGATAAGTCAGCTAGGTCTCTGGTAGGCCTGTATACATTGACTCCCATGAGATTATGCATTTGGAAATGAGCAATAGAGATAGTGGGCACCAAGTGCCCACTATTCTTTCAACAAAACTTTTTTGAGCTCTTACTGTGGGTCAGACACTTTTGTGGCGATTATAAGCTAGCCTCAACAAAAATTTCCTAGAGATCCACAGTAAAAAATGCCTTATATAAAGTTGAATAAGTAATTTTTGGGTGGATGAGTGAGTTGAAAAGATGGATGCAAGAATAAAAAGACAACTCCCTGATGCTGCTGCTCAGGAGAGAATTCAGATCCTTGGAAAGGATTCATTTACAGTCTTTCCAGAATTTCACGTCTGCCAAAATACCGTCTAGCTAATCCAGTTATGCTAGTGGAGTGCCTGAATCATTCCAGTGTAACAGTTATGAAAAATGTGCAATTAAGGCAGCGTGGAATGACAGTATAAATGAATAGGTTTAGTGTGATGAATGGCATTTAAAGCCTCAGTTAAGGAAGATGATGACATTGCTTTTGAAAGTTGATTTGCCTACTGAAAAGTGTCCTGTGTGTTAATTACTGCCTTAGAACAATGTGTTGATTTGCGCTTGTTGCCGGAAAGGTAGGATTCAGCAACCCACACACACAGAGAAGAAATAGAAGGTGCAAAAGTTCACAAATGAGTTTGGCCCTTCCTTGGCAGAACAGAAGACAGCCATATAAAGAAACACCTTTGACACATTTGCAAATTCTTTTAACAAATATTTGAATGCCTTCCTAGGCACTATTAACCACTATTGTTACATCACTGAGCAAAACAAAAATACCTGGTTTCAAAGAGCTTACATTTGGTGAAGGGAGACAGTAGTAAGTTATATGGTATGCTAAACTATGATAGAGTTCTATGAAAAAAATAGGGAAGAAAATCATGAACAGGGTGGAGACTGGGTTGCAAATGGCTGCTTTCAGCTGACTGAAAATAATTATGCCCTTGTCTTTGCTTTACCTTGAGATCGAAATGTACCAAATAAGTGCAGTAATAAAAAGGGAGTTTCCTAATATGTCATTCTTTTATAAGTTGTGCTCTGGAATAGGTGTGGTGGCTCATGTCTGTAATCCCAGTATTTTGGGAAGCTGAGGCAAGAGGATCAAGAGCCCAGGAGTTTGAGACCAGCCTGGGCAACACAGTGAGACCCAGTCTCTTAAAAAATTGAAAATGATACTTGTCTGTAGTCCCAGCTACTCATGAGGCTGAGATGGGAAGATCTCTTAAGCCCAGGAAGTTGAGGCTCTAGTGAGCTATGATTGTGCCACTGCCTTCCAGCCTGGGTGGCAGAGCAAGATCCTGTTTTAAAGGTTGTATACTGAAGATACCAGTTTGGAAAATATAATGATATGTACCCAGTGCTGCTATAGTAGTCCCTGCTAATGTACCAATGTCCAGGAATGATAAACTTGTAATCTTGTAAGGTGGGAGATTAATCAAATGTGTGAGCCCTTTTTAAATCAAGAAAAATGAATATTCTACCTAGACTTAGGTAATCTAATCAAATATATTAGAGATTACTTAGGTTACTCATGATTTCTGTGTGTATTTAGCCTTGTCGAATACCCTGGATAAACTTGGTAGACGCTTAAAAAAGAATCTTTATTATTGAGCATAAACATTGAGGAATAAAGAAGACAGAAAGTGATCACTCTTGATTGGGGTAGCATTTCCAGAACAAGCCTAATTTTATCCCACAGAATTATATTGGGAAGGAAATTCAAAATGTTAATAAGAGGTTTAGACAAACATGGCTTCCAGCTTCTGAATGCAATGGCCAGCTGAGGGCACCCCTGTCCAAGGGGAGAGGACATGGCTGAGGTGTATTTATGGATCTCCTGGTGCATTAAGAAGGGATGGGTAATCCACTGGCACTTTAAGATAATTGCTGTGATTGAATGATTTTCCCACTTCAGTTTTAAAAACCAGCAAGCCAAATTTCTGCTTAAAAGTCCCTAGTGGCTGGCTGGGCATGGTGTCTCATGCCTGTAATCCTAGCACTTTGGGAAGCCAGGGCAGGCAGATCACTTGAGGTCAGGAATTCAAGACCAGCCAGGCCAACATGGTAAAACTCTGTCTCTGCTAACAATACAAAAATTAGCTGGGTGTGGTGGCACACTCCTGTAATCCAAGCTCCTTGGGAGGCTGAGGCAGGAGAATCACTTAAGCCCAGGAGGCAAAAGTTGCAGTGAACCAAGATCCCGCCACTGCACTCTGGCCTGGGTGACAGAGTGAGACTCCATCTCTAAATAAATAAATAAATACATACATAAATAAATAAACCCCAGTGGCTTCTCAGTGCCTTGAAGACAGGTACAAATTCCTTAAAGTGGCTTAGGAAGTTCATGCTCTGTTTCCTGCTCAGGTCCAACCTCACTGCATGCTATGGTACATCTGTTCCCCCCTCAACTTCTTTGTGCTCTCAGAAAAGACCCAGTATCACCTCTGAACATCTGTGCATTCTCTGTCTTCCCTGGCCAACTCCTATCCATGCTTCAGGTCTCAGCTATCATTTTCTTCATCAAGGCTTTCCTGACCGCTCAAATACAAGTTATGTGTCCCTTTCATGCATATCCATAACACCTTTATCATGATCTTTATCACACTTAAAATTCCTTGCTCACCTCTTTTCCTCCACCTGTTTCTGAGGGCTGGCACTGTGCTTCTCAGTGCCTGAGCTGGATGAAACACTACTGGTTTCCTACCCTACAGCCATGTTTCTCTTCCTTACCAATAGAATCCTGATTTTGTTTAGGGATTGTGCCTGATTGTGCCCAGCTTCCCCGGCAGCTCCAAGTAGTAGCCAGAGAATCCTGGGCAATGAGATAGGCTAGGGCATTTCTGAGAAACGTTTACGGTGCGAAGAGGACTGTCCCTTCCTCTTCCTTCTTTCTACCTGGGATGTAGTTAGGGTGGCTAGAAGTGACAAGGGTTAGAACTATTTGCCTTTGTGGTGACAAACATGAAAAACCAAGTTGAGGATGGCTAAACAGAAAGAAGGAGAAGGAATTGTGGGTTGCCATTCTGGTCCTGGTCTACCTGCCTTCAAACTTAATTTTATATGAAGGTGGTGAGGTGTGATACATTATTATCTGTTCATTTGGGGATGTAAACGGGTGGTTAACCTATTTGGTTAAACCACTGTATCTGGGATTCTATTACATACAGCCAAATGTAGCCCATAAGTGATACACTATTCAAATATTTGTTCAATTAATGAATATTATAATAATAATCACTCATTTGCTGAATGCTTGCCACAAATTAGGCTCCATTCTAAGTACTTTACGTGATTGCCTTATTTGGGAGAAGAACCTTTGAAGGTTCTAACAGGAAAATTCTAGAGAATACTAAGCCCTACATGAAGAAATAGGCAGAATTGTGTTGAAGAATTTGGGAGAAATTTATCTTATTTCTCTAAAAGGAAGCAGCATTAATAGCTAGCCCAACTAGGACCTGTCCATTACTTGGTTCCTAAGGGTGGGGGCCAGATTTCTTTTACATACTGCAACGTGTTGGTGGGGTGGGTACAGTGGCTCACATCTATAATCCCAACACTTTGGGAGGCCAAGGCAGGCAGATTGCTTGAGCTCAGGAGTTTAAGGCCAGCCTGGGCAACATGGTGAAACCCCATCTCTATCAAAAATACAAAAAAATTAGCCAGGCATGGTGGTATGTGCCTGTGGTCCCAGCTACTCTGAAGGCTGAGGTGGGAGGCTCGCTTGAGCCCAGGAGGTGAAGGTTGCAATAAGGTGAGATCACACCACTGAACTCTAGCCCGGGCAATTGAGTGAGACCCCCCCCACCATCTCAATAATAATAATAATAATAATAATAACAATAATAATAAAATATTTCAGCATGTGAATGAAGTTCCTGCCTTGCTCAATTGTTCTGCCCACACTAAATCTCTTCCCCTGATTAATCACTCCCTACTTCTCTAAGGACAAAATATGCTCGGCAGTTTATCTATCTATATATATTTGTCTATCTCTATCTCTATCTACGTATCTATGTACTATCTATCTATCTATCTA